CCCCAAATCGACCATTTTGGTAGTTTAGTAGCGGCTTGAAAGGGCGGTAATATAAAAACAAATATAAGCCGTATTTTGGGTTTCGGACGTGGTGATATTTTAAGTGGGGAGGTTTACAATAGGTACTTGGGATTATATGGTATCCGGATGGCGTGTGGGTGTTTGTATGTCTAATAAAGGGAGATCGTCTGGGCCACCTGGGTAGACTGGTCGATGGTTGTTTTCTTCCAGCAATGCACTGGTCGACCGTATAGACAGGTTCAAGATGGACCGGAAGCTTGGGGTTTGGGACCAGGGCCCGGAAGCTTGCGCAAAGGAGATCATCATAGGTCCTCTTTTTTGCCACCTGCAGCAGTTTTGACGGCGATACAAGGAAGGGTAAATCTGAATGATGTATTTTTTCAGGTGGATTTGACAATGTGAATCCATGTGCTTGTGCTTGCGGAAGGACGGGACCTACTGTTTGTCCTGGATTTAAGGAAGGTAAGATACCTTACAAGGACCATTTGTAAAGGTTCTTCAGAGGTCACTGCTGCGTTAAAAGACTCATGATTTCTCATGTCGAGTTCTAGCCACGCATGGATTGTTTGTTGGATTTGCTTGCTGAATGTAGAACTATAGTAACACCTTTCTTGGCTGACTCGGAACTGTGGCATAGCCTCATACTTCGGTCTTGAATCAGTCAAGCTCACAACCACAGTTGCTCGTGCTGTTGGTCCCTACTGCCACTTTACGAACCTCTCACCAACTCTTGGTCAGGATGGGATATCGCATATATATATATATATCGCATATATCTCCAGATTGCCTCCAGAATATCGCACAAAGCCATCATTTGCTGGATCTCGACGCAAACAAAGGGAGATGTTTTCCAGGGAAACACATTCATGGAGAGTGGGTATATAGGTACAAAACATCAAGAAAACTCTTCTCAACGCCAGTTCCTCAGAATTTTCACCTTTGGCCATCTTCGGAGCCTCCACCTCCTGCCTCCCCCCCTCGCTCCCAGGCTGCGCCTCTCCATGCGCAAGTTCAGCGCCCGCGCCCGGCTCCACGCCGAGTCCCAGGCCGCGCGCGATGGGCGTCCCGACGGGAGCGACGCGTTGCGGCGCTCGGGGAACCCGAGTGCTGCAAAGGACCGGGTTCCGGTGTGTCCAGTCCAAGGTCGTTTTGGTGTTTTTTTGGGGGGGAATCAAGCGGGTTAAACCCCCAAAAAGCTACTGGTGCATCTTGTTTTGGTTATGTGTTGGGTTTTATATTATAGGTGCATGTTGCGGTGTGTTTTTTCAGACTTGGGGGGTGGATCGGCAGCTGAGCGATGTCAGAATCTTCGAGAAAAGTAGAGTGGGGCATGACATTTTGTGCATTCTGTGGACCAACAAGCAGAATTTCTAAGGCCACAGTTTCCCTCAAGAATGTTGGTACTTGGCATGCAGATGCAGATGCCCTTTTAGCATGTCTTCTCGCATCTTTGTCAATTGTTCGTGTCCACACCTTATGTGTTGTCATCAGACATCGGAGACATTCATGTCTTAGTCATCTTCATGTTCAACACATGTTCATGTAATATCATGTATTCATGGAATTACATCGATATATTCATGTTTCATATTCATACTCATATTCATGTAATCTTCCTCACTTATATAGCTTTGTGTTACTTGTTCTTTCCTCACTCCTTTCGCCAGCATGTTCTCCAGATCGCAGCTCCTCAAATCCACCAGGACGTGAGTTCCTTGCTGAATGTCTCCCCCAGCGAATGGTTCACCGCACGAGTGGATCACGCAGCGCCCTTCGGCGTCTTCGTGGAGGCGAGGGACCCCAGATACTGGTGGAAGACTAGGGAGTACTGGTACTGGATTGCAATCAGCGAACCTGGTCTTCATACTTGTAATACTGAAGGCAAAATCTCATGTCGCCATGATCTGGGCTTTGAAACTATCTCGGAGTAGAATTGTGCCAATGTTATTACTGCATTCTTGATCGAATTTGGGCGTTTGATGAAAAAACAGCGGCTGGCTATACAGTATAGCTTGCTTATCCAACAGCAAACCCACCAAAGGTGCCCTCTGTCCAAGAGCAGACCCACCACAGCAGCAGACCGTCTTCTCCGCTCAGATGGACCTGCCCGAAGACTCGGGCCAGGCCGAGAACGCGGCTCCGCGCGTCGCGGTGGATGTGAGGAGTGGGGGGAACACGAAGCTTGGTGAGAGAGGTCTGTTCAAGAGAGGAGATGGATGCAGAGTGGCAGCTCTCGGCCGAGTGGCAGCAAAATTAGAGTGACGATCGAAGGTCCAGGTGGCGTTTTGCTGGAGCTGTTGCTTGTTGCATTATGTTGCATTGCTTTGGCATGGAGCGAGCTGCCATATCGAATGTTCAAAGGCCAACCGCCAGTAACGCCATCTATATTCCATATTGCTTGTGGGACACCAACATAGTACAGTAGTCCAGTTTGCCCAAAAATCTCTTGGAAAACAGAAACCGTTGCTTCAAACAAACGGTTGCTCCTAGTTCTTGCTGTGTTTGGTTCTTCTGGGGTTCCCTTTCAACATCATCCAACTGTTTGGTCAAATACGTCCGCGGAACAGCTCTCCCATCACCAGAACTGGCTTCGGATGCGCCGCCCCCTCGTTCCCTCCGTGTGCGCCAGCCGTTCAGCTCGCTCCAGGTGGTGGGCCTGGTCCACATCTCCGAAATGCGCGAGGGCCGCGTGGGCGACCCTGCCGCGGAGGTCGAGGACGACGGTGGGACGGAGCCGGTCACCGGGCCGCGTGGAGCACGTGGAGCACAGTGGAGCACCATGGAGTGGGAGAGCCTGGAGAGCAACCCACGTGTTGGATGAGGTTGTGTTGCGTTGCGAGGCTGTTTGGCTGGTAGGAATATAGAAGAGGATGCCTCAAGTACTACTATAGTTGCAGTTCAATGACTTATCTATTCTGAATGTTATGAGGTCTTTCCTAGCCAGGCTAGCGGCTAGTAACTCAGTTTCAACTGCTTTCTCTATACCAGTCCCCCAAGAAGAACACATTCAACTCGACTTAGAGATCGCAAACGAGTCCACCGTCTCCACATCCCGAGAGGTCTCGCTCCGTCCTCAGAAGAAGCGACCTCCTCTCCGTCGCCCGACCTCCGCCGCGGCCAGGAGGGGCAGGAGCTGAAGGTCCGCATCATCTCGGTCGACTCGAGTACCGGGAGGCCGGGAGGCGTCCCTCTCTCTGTCTTTAGGTGATGAGGGTGATGAGGGGGTTGGCCTATGGAGGGTTGGCCAGGGAACCACAGTTGTCCATCATTTGGTCCATGGAAGTTCAATCTGTCTCACCAATCGTTTTAACAGAAGGATCCTTTTGGAAGGCTACGCGCGTGACGCGCCGACACGAAGCGAAGCGTTTTTTAGCGCGCGCAGGATCGGGATGTCCATGAAGCCGGTGCCCACCTACTGATTCCGAAGGAAAAAGAACTGCTTCTGGCTGCGCAGGCTTTGGCTGCTTTCTGGGCGTAGTCAAGTTGGTGGGTTTTTCTGAGGCGACGGCGGCACGACACAAGTGCAGGTGATGTCGAAGAAATTGACATGACTGGATACCATGTGACTTGTGATCATGTCAAAGGCGAGGTAAGTACTTCGGTGAAGTTTGATAGTCTGACACTGGGCACCACCCAGTGTCCTCAGAAGTGTGACTATATAGGAAGACCATCGGCTTCGCACACTGAAGATGTTCTCAAAACCCAAGCAGAACAGCCACAACAACACATCAACCAATAAGCACCGGTGCATGTCTGAAGCATTCTTAAACCATTTGTTAACCTCTTTGCAAGGAGGAAAACATGCACTCTTGAAGAGCTGCCAAACTGTCCACATGTGTGGCTTTGTTTCCAATTGCTTTTCCATCATCCACTTGCAGGTGGGCCATTGGAACACTGAAGATCACCCAAGGATGATCATAGTCATATGTAAGAACAGATAGGCACGCAAGGATCCACAGCAATCAGTTCTAACACCAACAGACCTTGCTTTTCCGTCGTGATGGAGATTAGCCCATCGTTTATGCACCAGGGACACTGGCGGGACTCGTGTAGCTCCGTTGGAAGTTCCAATTTGGTTGCCGCCGCCGTTGCAGAAGCAGGAGCAGCTGCTCCAGTAGGGCGCAACTTGCGACAAGTTGGCCATGTGCGGCTCAAGGACAGATCAAACTCCACCAGTCCGTGTGGGACTACAAGGTGGAAAGCTTTAAGCGAGGACATCACCTTCCAAAACTAGTAGAAGGGAGTTACTTGGAAGAGGTTCCATATTTGTTTGCATCATTCCAGCAGTTGGTCATACAGACCTAGCGACCACTCTAGTGACCTAGTGGTAGCCAGCTGTCACATGCCTTTATTTCTATGTTCCAACAATGAACAACCACTCCAAAACAGCATGAACTGGCAAGCTCTATATGCATGTGCTTTCTGGAAGTATGTCATTCTCGAGTGAATCACAACTGCACTCCCTTCTCTTCGTATTCTAAATCATTTAAACCAAAAGGGAAAGGGAGATGCTCTTCATCGGGAAAACCGAAGCTTTGCTGTGTGCGTGCTGAGAGTGGATGTGCTGCATCCGGCTGGCAATGTAGGTGCGCTTGGTTCAAAAGGGTCGTCTCGAAGTCCAGCTGTGTAGCCAGTGCATCGAATGCGCCTTAGGCTTAGGTGAGGGAAGTGACCAAGCCAGTGCTTGGCTCGAGATCCAGGTGATCCAAACAATCATGGAATTGGTCGAACCAGCTTTCATGGGTCACCTCACTCTTGAGTAGCGAGTAGCCTAGCTCGAATCCCAGGACCTCCGCTGAGAGCCCAAGAGCGCCAAAAGCAGAGAACCGTTTTGCCCAAGAGAGAGCTACCCAAAAAGGATCCCTTTAACATCGAAGAACCGAGCCGTGTTTTCTCCCAAAGAACCACCGCTGCAGTCCGTAACGTCACCCCTCACACATACCGAACGTCTCACCACCGTGCAGTCCGTGGGCCAGGCGATGCAATACGAGGGCCTTCCCTTTGTGGGGCACAGGTGGGCACACCGGGCACCGCCGGGCACCCGCCGGCCTCACCCAACACACCGGTCGACGTGATGCTCGACGTCCGGTCGAAGAAGTGAAATGGACCGAGGAAGGAGGAAAACCATGAGGAATCCAGGAAGAATATGGTTGTTTGAAAACCCGCATCCAGGATCCCAAAGTCGGCAGATTCCAGGGCGTTTCAGCGAACAAAGACATTTTGTTTGGGTCATGTTTTGGGAGCTCCAGCTGCTGACTTCAGTGAGTCTACTATGAGTCTACTGTCACTGCTAAAGATGTGGCGCTGGATCCACGGGAGATAGCTTGACAAATCTTGACAACATATTCCAAACTGCTCGTTGCAAAGGAACTCATGCCTTTATATCCTTTTATAGCATGTTATTGTTGATTTATTTGGCAATTGCCGCAATTGCCTCACAAACTTGGCTCAGGATTTGTTGGTCTTTTGATGGGGTCGTTGGAAGATCGAATCTCCTTGTGCGGATGCAGAAGTCCCGAGGCGTTTGCGGAACTTCTTGGCGCATTGGTACGAGCAAGGACTTTCTTTGGCGTGTCGGCGTTCGTCGACCCAGACAGTTGGATGGAAGAAAGGCGCTGACCAGGTAGTAGACTTGGAAAACAATTCTTTTTGTATTTGGAATGCAGCAAGAAGATCAATGAATGTGCTGTGGCACTGTGGCATGGGCCATGGGTTAGTAAGTACATGGCAAATCCTTTTTTATAGAAGCAACAGCAAACAAAGACCCAACGTATTACGTATGGATGCCTGATCAGGGAGCAGAACATTGTCTTCATCAAACATCATCCGGTTTAAACCGCACCTGTTACCGACTGCTTCCGGCCCGGAGGCCATCGAAAAATCTCCAGTGGGTGTCCAAAGAGATCTCGGTGCGTTCCGCAGCAGACGCCGGAGCCTGCCGGTGGACGGTGGACGGTTCTGACCTCGGTTCGGACGGCGGTTCATGTGCTCAGGATCTCCGCTGAATCTGCTGGATGCCTCACCCGAGGTGTGGCAGCTGGTCGAGAGCGAGACGTGGAGGAAGGGAAGTCAGGTGTTGCAAGGGTGGTCAGTCGGGGATGTTCGGAAAAAGTGCTTCGGATTTATCGACTTAAAGTTGGATCTGACTGCCGTGGGTTGGCCCGCATCAGCGGGATATAAAATAGACATGGACATTTGCGTTTTTTTCTCTACATTTTAGTTGGGGTGTTCCATGTCCATGTGACTCGTACTGGTATCATCTCGTATCTGTCGAAAGGCAAAAAGCAACAGTATAGTAAATATATTGTTGTTGCTTGTTTACAGTATATAATATTATATATCCCAGACACTCCATTGACCCCCCAAAACCACCCCTGGCCTGATCGGCATCTATGGCAGTCCCATGGACTGTTTGGGTATTATGAATTGTTCAATATCAACCCATGTTCCCTGTCCCTCAATCATGAGCCACGAGGCGCCCAGCTTGGATGAGGATGCAGGCATGACCCGACGGCTGACCGGACGGCGTTCGCCCAGCGCAGTTCACGGTGCTGGTGAAGATCGAGGATGATGTGGTGTTTGGGGCGCAGTTGAGGTGGATCATGTGCAGGTAGAACAAGGGTTTTCACCCACATTCGGTTAGAATGAAACATGTGTTCAGTCTCGCACATTGACAAGGACGTCCAACAGAGTGAAGTGGCTATAGTTATATAGTCTAGTTCAGCCACGGCTAGCGAGCCGTTTTCACCCACGTGCTGTTTTTGCGTGTGCAAAACGAAGGGTGTGATTCTCTTGATCTACAAATCCTGCATTCATGGAGCCTTGGAAAGCGCTAAAGCATCTTCATTCATCAAGATCCAACAGTATAACTACAGTACTACTATACTATACAGTGGTTTTCGAGGATCTACACACGATCTATGGACCCTTCTTTCGGTCCATAAGGACCTACTATGAGGTTGTACAGTGGTGTCCCTGGAGGTCGTAGTTGACCCGGAGTCCCTTGCATGTCTCGGTACCGGGTCAACTCGGCTAGCTGGCGACTCGGATCTTGGGGGTGTTCACCCGAGAATGAAGCTGGTTTGGGCGGCCAGCAGCCGGGCAGTTCCAGGTACGTAGTTATTGGGTGTTCTTTAGTGCGTAGTAGATATAATAGTGCAATATATTTGGACAGTCCCAAACAAAAATGCACTCCCGAAATCAGACCACCACACCATTGCACAGAGACTTCCCAGTCGCGGCAAACCACTTCAGTTTCTGGTGCCGTCGCGGCTCACCAGGCGAAATCAATGAAGAGGCGATCTTCCTGAAGGACGGCGACCGAAGCGCGAGCGAGCGCGACAAGGTGATTTGCTGTCCAACATCGGAAGCGCATCGAGGGAAAAAACACTGAGCATGCCAACACACTGAGCATGCCTTCACCTTAGGTGATTCTGTCCAGTGTGCTACGGCTACGTTCCAAACAGTTTGAAGAGAAAAAAGGACCTGGTGATCTTTAGTGACTCGTACGTGAGGGGTGAGCCGTTGACCATTCAGCCAACGGCGGCCAATGGTTCTGAAGTTCGGTCGAAACTGACGGTGTTGGATGTTTTTTTCCATCAGATATGGGTTGTAGAGGAAAGTAGTCTTCCAAAGGTCCATGCCATCAGGTTCCATGCAGGTCTCTTCCCGGGTGTACCTCCTTTTTCTTGAGACAGTTTGAGACCATTCAGAAGGACTTTGGAGTGGTTCAACATCGAGTGGTTTTGGGGTTGCAAAGATGTCATTGCTTACACTTGGGGGTATAGCTGGCATTGGGCAGCAGGCATGATGTGCAGCAGAAATGGTTCCTCCATGTTCCTCCATTTTTTCAACTTATTGGGATTGTTGGCCGTTGTTGGCCATTCACAACTACTTTGTGGCGTGCGGACAGCCACCAAAATGGCCACCAACCTCTTGAGCAAGTACTGCAACTCTTTCCAAAAGAAGTACGGGAACATACACGTTGGTAGCGAACGCACGCGCTTGGCGCGAGCAAAGGACTACTTCCAATCGCAGGAGAAGGCTGGGGATGTGCACGAACCTTTCTGCAATCTTGGAAGAACTCCTGCTCCCAGAATCATTTCAGGAGAACATAACTGTAGATGGAAGATGTCACCTTCTTTGTTCATGAACAAGGAGACCCCGCTGCCAAAGAAAGTCATTTATTCTACACCACAAGTTTTTAGCAAAAACCACTGACATAGCACGTTCCGGCGGTTGTTTCCACTTGTTCTTCCCTGGGCACGCCGTCTCACACAGTGGTCGGTTGCCAGGCTTTCTCGCCGCAGGGGAGTGGGTTTTAGTCTCAGTGCTATATCCAGTGGGTGAATGAATAATACACCCCACTTGGGTCTGTCCTAGGAACCTGTAACAGTCAGTAAACAACTACCAGGACTCTCCAGTCGGGGTGCCCTGTTTGGAAGCCAGGCGGCCGGTAGTGTGGGGTAGTCCAGCCAGGACACCCCGAGGGTCGGAGGGTCCTGGTATCAGAGATGTTGGCCTACGACCCCATCATCATCCATTCACAAGGATAGACCCGACACCCACAGCCTCTTGGATTTGTTTTTTTTTCACTCCTTGTTTCCCCCACAGCCTCTGAGAGAGAAGAATCGTGGTGAGGCATTCCATATCTTGCTGAACTTTGTGAGTGAGGTGGGCTGAACATGGGGGCGTTCCATCGCGGGGCGTTTCAGCATGCGGCACTCTGCATGGGGATCGACTGTCTTCCATCCTCGGTAGCAGACCACTCTTGAAGGCTTTTGTTGGATAAAACATGTTTCGAACCAAAAGCGAGGTGAAGGTTTGTATAGGCTTGGGTTTGTACGGATTGCTTCAATGAAACACCCGAGCCTTCCGGGTGTTTCGGATCGGAGGCTCGGCTCCGGCTCGGATCCGGCTCGGCTCCGGGTCGGCCGCCGCGGAGCCGCGGATCGCATCCGTTGGGACCGATCCGACTGGGACCGGGTGCGGTGAAACGGACACCTGGCAACCGCGGTATGGTACGGAGATGAGCATAGGAAAGAAGAAATCGGAAAGGCCAAGGCAAGGTTGAAGGTCAACCAGGTCTTGCCACATTGTCAGACAGATGGAGAAATGAATTTAAAAGAGTTTGTTCACCCAGGGACATATTCAACAGCGATTGATGGACAAGAAACAAGTGTGTTGACGACGTCAATGCATATCAGTGGTACATTCAGGGGGCCTTTTACACATCTAGATTCACTTGGGACGGAAAAGTGCAAGCTTAGCCTTGAAAAGAAAAAGGAACCATTATAACCACTATAATTACAGAATGGCGGTCGACCATTCCATAGCCGACCCTGCCCCACCACCCGCAGGTGTCGATCCATCTCAATTACTGGCTGGCTGGGACACCTGGCATCGAGTCGCCTAGAAAGAGTCCAGGCCGAGAACGAACCGATCCATTGGATCCCGAACCTCACACGCGTGTCCCGTGTCGACGTAACAAAAACGTGTTAAACGGCAACTCTTGAAGCGTCGCGTCTCGGGGGGGAGCTTCAAGAGTCAGGCAGATGGGTTTCATCCATCCCTGGGTCCAACAGAGGTTGAAGGACCCTGTAGCCTATCCCATAGGTACCCCAGTACGGTCCTAGTTCAGGTCACTCAACCTCTCTTGGCTTTTCATCCAGTCGACGATCTCCAAGAGGCGGATGGAACGTTCCTTCAGTCCTGACGGTCCCATGGGGCGAACCTGGGGATGGCATGGAACTCGGTCCCATGGGACGGGAAGAAAGTTGAGGATCCTGACGGTCCCAAGGGCCCGGGTCCACAGACCTTCGGCTCGTTGGTTTTCATGGCTTTAGGAAGAGCTCGGGAGTGTTTGTTCGTCTTCGGACAGCGGAGATTGGCACCATGATGTTTCAACTGTGAACCACGACATACCATGACTGTTGGACGCCCAGTTGCTGGAGGTGTCCCAAACATATCCTCCTCGTTTCGAAATGCCGACCTGTTCGTTGCTCCGAATGTCCTCAAACATGGCAAATCGGCCGGCCGGTGTTTGCAGCAAGTCTACTTTGCACGAAGCAGTGATAACACATAGCACCCAATAGCACTCAAAGCCACAGGTAGATTTGTGATGATTTGTGTTAGCTCATCTCAGCTCGCAAGTCTCCTCTCGATGTTCTCGGTGCTTGCCAGATCTGACCCACCTCCATCCGCACTCTCTTCATCCCTGGACCCTCCAAAGTACCTTAGAAAATTGGACATTACCCCATAAGAAACAGGTACGACTGTACCCATTTTCCGAGGTACGAACTGAGGCTCCAGGTCCATCCATCCCTCCATCCGCGCCGTTGACGCCGGACAGCTCCGATCAGGATTGGACCACGCCCATCCACCGACGCCCGCGGTGGGCGCATCAATGGGCCAGGCATGTGGGCGGCGCGGTGCGACGGCGACGGCGTCGGCGACGGCGACGGAGGCGATGTCGTTCGAGACCCGCAGAGGGGACACGTCCACACTCCATGGGACTGCCATCTATGCCTTCGGGGGTGCGGTTGTTGGGGTCGAAAGCGTTCGCAAGCGATGAATCGGTGGGATCCGAACGATCGCGATCCTGGGGACCCCCCCCTTCCGCTGCGCCTTCGGCGGCGGGGCGCTTGTTGGGCAGCAGCGGCACAAAAGCCGCCGAGCGGCGAAGGTCGCGGCCGAGCGGCTCCCTTCCGCGTCTCGGTCGAGGAGCTCGGTGTCCTCCCCCCGTAGGACGCTTCGGAGAATCGACTCATCGACCTGGTCGTTTCGTTCGAGGAACGCCTGACGGCCTCGATCTTTTTGGGAGTCCCTCGGTCCTGGGGAGCTTGGTAACTAGAAGAAATATCATGATCCAGTCCATACATATGGACCATAATAGGAAACAAAGAACGTTATGGAATGTCAATAACTTACAGTATCCATAACATTCCATAATAGGAAACAAATAACATGGATGAACATGGTTTTAAGGTAATGAACGTGTTTCGGACGGAGATCGAATCAGCTGTTTCTGCCTTTCCGTAAGGAGCTGTCCCGTTCCGTATCTTTCGCGAAATCGCACCACTTTGAAGCCATCCGCAAAAAGGTGAGAAGAGCTTTTTTTCGTTGGGAAGACCACATAAGTTGGTCTTGTGACATGGCGAACTCCGTGAACTCCCAAAAACGCCATGTGTTGAGTGCACCCAGAATCATGGCATTTCGAGATGTTGAAAGCCCGATCCAGAGAAGCACATCGATCCAGAGAAGTTAACCTCTGCAAGTACCTGGTGGGTCCAGAAAAGACTCATTGAAGATTGGGGAGGACATAGAGGGGTGACCATCCCAAGTTGTTCAGAGTGTGTTCAGAAAGTCCCGGATCAAATCTCTGCCAAGTTCTTCAAGTCTAAGTATGATTGTTGTGGCTCACACTGCTACATATACAAGTTCCAAACTGAGATCTTGCAGGCAAATCGAAGGGCTTGCACTTTGAAGCATTTTGAGGCAAACCAAGACACTCGGATCGATGCCCTAAATCTGCGTGAGGACTTTGGAAGAACTGAGCCACCGGTGCTTGGTACTCATCAAAAAGAGGGCAGAATTCATTCGCGTTCCAAACTCTTCAGATGACAGATCTGCACATGTTTCCGTCTTTTGACGCATGTCACGTCGACAGCCATGGCACGTCCGAGCGTGAAGAGGCTGTGGATGAAAAAGGGCGATGCCGCAAGCCCTGCTAGACTACAGAGTGGGGACGCTGCATTTCGTAGTGTTGCTACGGTGCATCACACCCTTTAAGCCCGCTTTAGTGATGTTGAGTTCAGCGGCAGGATGCGAAGGCTTGGCCATAAGTACAGATGGCTTTTGAGCCATCAGCGCCGCCAAAGCACAGCCACCATCTCACCAAGCAAGTTTATCACGCACAACTACCGTGCAAGGCGTACTTTCCAAACATCACCCTTATGTCTGGTGCTCAAGTGCACCAATCCCTCCAGCCTTGTGGGCCGTCTTCTATACACCTGCTCAAAAGGTGGCTATCACGTGCCGCACACGCGCCACGTGCCGCACACGTGTCACCTGCTTTGAACACTGTGTCATGGCCTCTTGGGCCTGCTGGGTTGATGCGACCAGACAGGAAGTTGTGGCGCAGCTATCTAGCACTGCGGGGTGCCACAGCGCCACGTCCGAACGAGCGATTTCCACCCGTGTGAAGCGATGGGGGTTGATACTGCCACTGTACTTGCCGCACGGTTTTTGACGGACAACTCCTGCGAACTTGTTTTTTTCCCAACAGGGGTGTCCACTTCCATGCTTGTTGGATTTAGACCGTTTTCCAAGATGAACCGTGCGTCATTTAGGGTGGCACTTGTGGGAATGTATGGAATGTGGTCAACAAACAATCAATATAGCTAGCAACAATACTGTCAGACTTGCGCTGCAACACATGATGGAATGTCGGGTTTCCGCGGTTCAGTCCTGTTGTTGTTGAGGTTGGGGCGCCGCCGGCCACTGGCCCAGCCCGAACGAGCGGCCGCAGAGTTTGCGCGTCTGAGTGAGGCGGGTTGGGCGGAGAAGATATGTTCTTGGTTTCATGCCACTCCAGGGTTGCAGCCAAAAAACAACATGTTTTTAAGAAAACAATGTTCATCCGCTAGAAGTGGTGCATGTGGTGCTAAGTGCACCGGGTCGAAGAGTGGGGGTCACCAAAACGTGAAAAAATTGCATCCTGACTGCAAGTCTGACCTGAACATAGACACCTTGCTTGCTGATCGGATCTCCCTCTTTCATCTCTTTCAATACCAATAAACGACTCCCAGTTGACCGTTGACCTCCAAAGACCGTCTCCTTTGAGTGAGTCGTCCACCGAGGTAGGAGACAGAGAGCTGACCTGGTTGATTGGCGATTGGTTGGGGGAATAGAAATATGTTACTAATGTTTGTATTGTTTCATCGTCCAGGTTTTTTTGATTGTTCCGGTTCAAATGTTTATAAGTGAAATCAGATCATCAATCATGGTTTTGCTAGATTGGTTTGCGACAGCAGGCTCAATGGGGCTTGCTTGTTGTTTCTAGGTTTCCCCAACAGAAGATCTCATGTTTCTTCTGTGTTCAACTCATCTTACTAGTTCCCTAGGGCTCCAAGTACGTCAGAAGGTATTTGGACCCTCCTGGCACCCACCCCAGTCACACCGTTAGAAAGTACGACTGGAGCCCAAACGGGTTTTGGAAGATCACTCGTGGCCTCGTGGCTTTTCACTCTTCGTCACTCGCCCCGGTCACTCTCCGCTCTACTCACCGGTCGGTCGACCGGTGTTGTCTCGGAAAGGACCTCTGCAGATTGCTGGCCTTCATCCAGGCCGCGGGGCTGTCCGGTGCGTAACTGGGTGGAGAGTGAGAGAAGTGAAGGCCTGTGGGGAAGGCCACTCTGGGCGATACCATCCAGTAAGCTTTTGAAAGTGGAGCAGGGCGTCTAACATCGTCTACGCGTAAGTAACATCATGGTAAGGTTTGAGACTGCACCACTTCGATGGATGAGCGGCTCCTGCGTAACTGTAAGGCGTAACCGACCTGCGTGCGCAGTGAACGCATGAAAACAGATGAAACAGATCTCTCGGGATGGTCCTCAGTGGGTGATGAAAAGATTAGAAATGGCATGTCAACAACGTGACGGAGGAGGAGGATAAGGCATCAGTCGAAGAAGGCTATCACATCTTCAAGGGCTACAAACTATCTTGCTATATGTCCGTGGAGTCGCTGGTCTTTCGCTTCGGCATGTCCGTCCTGAAGATCGAAAGCGGAGTAAGATCGACCGCACGTGTTCGCATTTGGCAGGTCGAATGCGAGGTGTTCATGTGTTGACGACGGACAGTTCAATCCTTCTGGATGAAAGGTAAAAACACCCCCTGGAAGAATCGTAGTTTCGTGGAAGTGGAGCTCTGCGCACCTCTTTGGTCTTCGGAGAACGAACGAAACGGGTCATCCGAGTCCTCGTCCTCGTCCTCGTTCAGCCATGCGTTCTCCACGTTGGCCTACGAGGACGTTCGGACCAAATGGGTCACTTTGTCTTCTTCACCTCCAACGGGACGCTGCCGAGTTGCTCAGGAACCTTTTGGTTCCTATGAAGTCCTTCGGGCTAATCCCAATCACAGACTCATGTACCAGGACCTTCCAACAGGTCACCACCTGCGACGAAGTCAAAAGCCGAACAGGCAGAGGAGACCTGTTGCGACCTGTACTGGGTATACAGGAAGTTCAGTGGATCGTGTTTTCAGGCACACGTGAAGCCCGGAGATCGGATGTTCATTGACATCTTCAACATCTCAGCTTGCAGCTTCAGCTGGGCTGGGGTAGGGAGTTATACATGTTTGTACATCATCAAGATCCATATCTATCCCCAAAACGTCCTAAGATACTCAACTGACAACCTCCGGATCTTCGTTTTGGAGGTCTTGCACATCTACTTGTTGGGCACGACCACCTTGAGCCTTCTTGCTTTGCCTCGCAGACGAAGCGTCTCGTAGCCACGCTGAGACCTCACTCGAGGGCCCGTCCCGCGACCAAAGGTGTGCCGGACCTACGAATCCCCATGGAACGGCTTATAGTCCATCAGCAGGTCCAACGCTGGCAGCAAGGCCAGATGAGAGCGTGACTTCATGTGACTTCAGCACGACTTCAGCACGACTTCCCCCACCAAAAACCAAACAAACAGCTCCACTTCTCCGATCTTCTCCGCCCGATCTTCTCCGCCCGGGACGTTGGGTACCCCCCCCCAGATCACCTCCTTCGACCTGCTGAGCTCCGAGCTGGGCAGCCTGGAGCCGCTCGGCAGCGACCGCCGCGCGACTGCCGGACCGTGAGGAGGGCGGGAACGCACGCGGCGGCGGTGATCGTGGTGTTCAACCAGTTGGGGCAGGTGTATACTGGACAACAATGTCCATGTGAGTCGGGAGCTGCCTTTTTAGTCAATCTGATCAATTCTTGGAGTTGGGGGGGTTGGTGAGTGTCAATGCCTCAAGATGGGTGGTAAGTGGTAGATGAGCATAGATCCTGAAGAACAGCTGCATGTTTGTCTCTGGGGGTAGAACTCTTGAATAACCTGTCTTCAGATTTTGCTGCCTTCCTCCAAAAGCCAAAGAAACTTAGGACATGTCCTCGGATCCACATGATCAGACCTTGCACAGATCCTCCCAAAAACCGCCGCAGCCGCCGCCGCAACGGGACGTCACCGGGGACGTCGGCGACGTCGGTCCAGGGCCCGGACCGAAGCGCTGCGCCGGAGCCTGGCGGGCCTCAAGTGGCAGGAGCGGGCGGATCGGTCCGGGTGGAGTCGCGCGTGGCGTCGCGTCGCGTCGCGTCGCTGTGTGAGTAATAGCCTGCGCGTGTGAGCTGAGTAGCGCGTCGCTAGTGCGAAAGGCTGCATGGCAATTCTTTTTGGGACAGGACACGTAGCAGAATGAAATCCATAACACCATGTGCAGCCTATAGGAGCTATATTTGACAGGAAGTAAGTGTTGACCATTTGGGAACAGAATTCGGGAACAGTAAGTGTTTGAAGTATCTTGAGTCATGTTGCGTGTATTCTTTTAGGAATACCATGTGCCGTTGTCAAAAATCCACGATCTCTCCGTCCTCCTTTTCTTCTTCTTTTTTTTCTTCCTTCTTCTTCTTCTTCTTGTTGAAGCCACCAAACGCACCGATATGGATTTTCGCGAGGATAAAGACATGATGTTGCCTCGTTTGGTGGATTAGAAAGAACCCCTAAGCCTAAACCTCCTTAAATCCTCATACAGACACATACAGATACATCCTCCTAAATATGTTCTCTTAAATCATCTTATAATATGTCAATTAGAGTCAGTTTCATTGACTTTCCGTTTGGAGCATGTATACCGGGATTTTTGTATGTCAAGACCCTGGTGAAAGTGTGCATGTTAAAATGCATTTTACATGTCAAGACTGCAGCCTTGCCCCCCACAAAAACAGTGTTTTTGCATCAAAACAACGGTTTTAACAGAGATGGATGATCAGCTGATGCAGAGGGATTGTGCTCCCATGGTCCACCACAGTGTCAAGACTATGGGTGAACCAACTATCCAAAGCTCAAAAAAGGCCCAACATAGGATTTTAGCATCCGGACAAGACAGTGGTGAAAGAAACTTCTTTGTGCCTGAACGCCAGCTTGGTGCCAAGACTAAAGCTTAAAAAACTATCCGAATCACAAAAGGCACACCGGACAAGACAGCAGGTAAACACACATGCAAATGGCTTTGAAAGGGGAAGGTTTCCATAGGTTTCCTTTCAATGAAAAAGAATGGGCGCGGCAAAAAGGTGGGAAGCAAAAAAGGTGGGAAGCACGCTCCGAGTCAGCTTTTACCCCAGAGTCATGGCACGAACGACTTTTTTAGGATAGTGTCTGCTTCAGTGTCAAGACAACAGGCAAACAAACACAATTTGGCCTGCAAAACGCCTGTCACGGGCATGCTAAAGCGAACATGCCAGGTGTCAACTGAACGGTGAAACAGCTGTTTCCTAAATGTCAAGACTATTGGGAAAACCATGGCTGAAACCATTCCGACGGTACTTCGGCCAACGTCAAGACTATGGAACGAACTATATCCAAAATGACCACTCTTAAAATTGCAACTGGCTTGGGACGATACGTCAGAAATTGCATTTTCCAATTTCACTAAAAAAAGTCTACTTGGCTATCATCCAGGGTGACCCAATGTCTACCAAGCTCACGAAGGAGAATTGTAAGAGAGATGGAATGCGGGAACAGTGTTATTCACCGTTCAGGTGTGGCTGCGGCGTGTGAATTGATGCTTCGCCGGCATACTGCTCAAGAAGTGCAAAGCAAGCCACCATCTCCTGGAACAGTTTAGTTTAGTACTTTTCACTGTCTTGTTAGGGCTTGCATCCAAAAAGCAGAACCAGGCATGCCGGTTAATTTTCTTGTTCAACTTGTTGCAACTACCTGGCATTTTTCTCTGACATTTCCCGGCCAGCATGGCTGTTGAAGCGGGTGGGAGATGGTGGGAGTATGATCAAGGTCCCATCAACAAGTCAAGCGACCAAGCTGAGTGTCAAAAGTCCTTCTTGGTCTTCGCAACATGTCTCACACCTGACCCACACGGGATGCTCATGGTGGGATGCATGCTCACTCCAGCACTGCCATTAGTATGTCAAGCCGCATTTTTGCTGCAGGCGTCTAACTGTCATTTTTGATGTCTCGGCAGGTATCCTTTGGCGCTGAAGTAGAACTTCTGGAATGGAGCCACCTCGAGGCCAGTTTGATGAACTGAAACCCTGATGAAACCACACCTGGGCAACCACAGCTTGCTATCTGTAGAATCTCACCATGCCTCTACTGTAGGCTTCTCGTCTGCTTTAAAGTAGCCTGGCCTACCGGAAGTTGCGACAGCAAGTCCACAATCAAGTCTCAAAGGTAATTAGCTGCGCAACAGAATCGTGTGGAAGAATAACCATGCCCACTGCTGGATTGCCGTGGCTCAGCCGAGGTAAATGTATGAGAGAATTCAGCAATGTGTGATTTGTATATAATTCGTGTGAAATTTCCAAACAATAGCATGCAGTTTCAACAGAAACTGCGACCCTATCGCAAAATGCGAGGCTCGGCGGTCAGTTAAGGGCTTCAATATTTTGCATTTGTCCCATTTAAGCCACAAAGGGTGTTAAGCGCCAAACACAACCGCCGAGACGACGTCTCAAAGCTTTCTGTTGGTCCCCAAAGAGGACTTGCCAGGATCGTTGTCAGAGCGGACGCCGCTGAGCTCTTGATGGCAGAGATAAACCAGTCTTTCACCAGAGGGCAGGTGACAGACCAAGCAACCAATGGAAGTGAAAAGGACTTGGAAGCGCGAGCTGTCAGTCGAAGCTGGCAACCTTTTGCATGACATAGAAGTCTTGTGCTTTCTTCCTTTAACCATGGTGAGGATTAACCTGGTGAATCCCACTGGTTTATTTCCGAAATTTTTTCTACAGATTGCAAGTGCCATCAAACAAATGCAGCCAAGGTCCCCCTACGTCCACTAAATGCAATTTGGGGACCCCCACGTCCATGCCACTTAGGGTGGGCACATATCCAAAATTACTTAAGATGACTTATAAGGTGATTCAAGAGAACATAAGTATTCCACATAATCATCTGCAGTTGTGATCTCTCATTTGAGGTCTCTTCCTCTGGACCCACCTCCTAAACCCCACCACACCAGCGCCGCCTCGCCAGACGCGGGTGGCGGCCATCACGGCGGCGCGGCTGAGCCCGGGCGGTACGGCCATGGTGCCGAGGCGTCCGACTGCGCGCCGACCGGGGTGGAGCGGCCCAGCCGACCGTGGTGGGTGGGATTTTGGGATTGGAACCCATAAGTGGGTGGGTTTTGAGGCCAAGGGTTAAGCAGGTCATGGGAGACACAACGCCCGTCGTGTCGCATTGCGGGTCTTGGAAGGTCTTATAGATCTCTGAGGAGACGTCCGAAAGAAAAGGAACCGCCAGGGATGCAGTGGCCAAACCCATGAGGAGCAAAGGGGACAGTGAACAGGTAATCACCGCCTTGAGTTGCTGGTTCAAAGGGACATGAATTTGCGATCGCATAAGAGTATAGTTGTTGGTACGACTTCGAGGGTAGCATCTCCAACATATTTTGATACAGAAGAAGGATCCAATCCCAAAAATATGTAGGTATACTATGCAGATCTATACAGTGAGTGACTACTGTACGGTGGCATTTGTTGGAACGACCCGTGAAAAGGCTGACACGACCGCCGACACTCGTTGACACGACCTCCTCAGTCTTCGATGGTGTCCAGGCGATCCATGCGGCATTCGTCGGAGAGCCGAGGGGGATGGCAAACTACACGTCACATGGGTTTCCAGGCATGTCTGCGATATGGGCGATGGGATGCAATTGGCAGCTAGCTATGTAGCTGCTACCAGGACACCCTAAGGGGTGTCTATTGATAGCCCCGAAAAGAGGTTAAGGGGTGTCCACTAACCAACCCTTGTGGGTCCAAGTACAGCTTTGGCTTTTGGGTTGTATGATTCATGAGTTTCATGGCACCTCGTTTTGGGTCACCGAAGCGAGGGAGTGCGTTCCCAAAAGAAGGTGTGTCCAATTGGTTCCATAGTTGCACCATATAGTATCGGTAGCGCAGGTAGCGTATTGGGTCTGTAGCACTTATTCAATGCTTTTTCCGCTCACTTCTTGAGTACTTGAGCCACGTATTGTGGCGATAGCGAGACATCGACGTGAAACGTCCTGGGCATTGCACACGGTCCGTCTCTTTTAGCTCAAAAACCAAAAACAAACGGTCATCAAGTTTCCGAGAGGAGTGCCACAGTCCGCAGATCTGAAGCAAACTGCGTGACTTGTCTTCACACTTGTTCCCAAAAAGACTCAAATGCATGCATGGTCTGCGCACAAAATACATAATTTGGAGATATCACAAACAAAGATTCGACCATCAGTTCCGACGACAGATATCAACAGAAGGACTGTTGATCACACGCTCCGTTTACAATCTTCAACTGTGTCTCCAAGCGTGCACTGTCGCAACAACATGCAACCAAGTGTAATCAACACGCTGACCTGCACGTTCTATTCACCACACTCTTTCCTTCATAGGAAAGCCACAGTTCAGCAGGTATCAAGCGTTCAGCGTTCAAACACCATGTTCAACAAGCTGGTGGTGTACAAGGTTGCTGTCACTTCAAACAGTCTACGCTCGACAGCATAAGCTTCAACTTCTAAGATCTGGGCTGCTATGCTCTTGACAGGTTGTTAAGGTCAATGCCATCTAAGTTCAACGCACATCTAGTGCCACAAAAGAATTCTGAGTCGTGCATGGGTCTCGACCGTCTTCAATGCAGTTGCACATTGATTCCATCGAGAGTGACCAGAGTTTCGGTCAACCATTTGGTGGAAACATGTTGTGTACAGAACGAAAGCTTTTCAACTGTTTGCAAGTAAACTGTTCTCACTCATAAACGAACACACCGACTCCTTATGCTAAAGCACTAAAAAGGAACAAAAGGAAAAAAAAACTTACTTAGCGTCAAAAGGCACAGACCAAAAAGGAAAGTGTCACCGAACGCAAACTCGAATTCAAGCTGGATCCTCTCGATTCTCGAGAGAGAACTTCGTTCGTGAGCACTCATTTGGAACGTCATTGAAACACCTCGAAGGTCACTTATAGGGTTTAGGTGTTTCCACATATAGGGTTCCCTAGCCTGCGAACATGGCCCCCTAGAGGGGCGTCCTAAGTCCAAGTTTAAAAGCTATAGTAGCTTTAAAAAAATATCCATGTTTGGATGAGCATCAGACAGCTCCAAACATGTGACTTCTACGAACATCTCCAAGTTTAAGTCCAGACCTGTTTACGGTGCTCAGCTGAGCTGCACCTTCCTCGGCCTTCCGCCTGAGGTGGTTGGGATCCATGGGTTCGGAGACGGCCTTGTCGGAACAGGCGCAGGGGCAAGCGGCGGAGAGGAGACCGGGGAGAGGGAAACATGAAGGCGTGCGCCTTATCACGACGGTGGCGTTTCCTGGTTTCGACCCAAGAGATTACAGTGGTTTCGTGTGTTTTTGTTGCAACCCGAGATGTTGTCCCTGGGAAACGTAGTAAACCGGGTTGCTGGTGTGATCGTGGCCTGGACCATGGCCTGTTTAAACCGGGCGCTGTTGCTGACTTACTCGAAGCTGAGGCTCTGAGGTGTGAATCCATCGGTGAAATAGTCCAGCAGGTGTTGATCCAGCAGTTCCAGGATAGCTTGTCCACTGGTTACACAGCTATGGTCTGTACCAGTAAGAATGGTGTACAGTCAGTGGATGATCGCAGTTCCATGTCGGAAGGGTGGGGGGATGGTGTTTTGGTCCATGTCTAAACCGTGGAGGTGGAGGTGGATGGCTGTCCTTGCGGCACGGGCACCGCACCGCCCGGGCGGTCCAGGTGCCGGCTGGGCGGTCGAGGACCTCGTCCCTCTCCGGAATCCGACTCCCCACCCGATCCACCGGCGCAAGCGAAGAGCTTTGATTGGAGGGAGAAGCGCGTCTTAGTTTGGGAAAGAACGAAACATGTTCCATCCGAGCTAGAGTTGAGCAGAGCCCTTCTAGTCACGAAAGAACCATATACGTATTGCTATGGGGGAAGGGGTCCATGTCATTCGGTTGTGATTCTCACCAGTGAAGCTTGCTGAAGCTTCCCAACACCACGCCACCGACCCTTCGGGCCCTTCGGGCCCTTCGGGTCACGGACGAAAAAGGTGGCAGCGCTCAGCGAGAGGAGACCGACCTGCATGCGTTCAAGCGAGGGAGTGTGATTTGCTGGGCTAGATAAGTGAAACACGCCAAGTTGGTGGAGAATTTGGTAGATTCAGAAGATTGAATGCGGCTGTGTCCTCAAGCTTGGTGCATGTTCTTTGTTTGACAGCTTATACTTGAAGCTAGATCATGGATATGTCGCCCAATGGACTCGAAACCGCTTTGAGCTCCAGCAGTGGTCAGAGTTCTTAATCGACGTCGACCTGCGCAGACTTCGACCTCCCCCTGCAGACAGCGACGTGAATTGGCGAAGACGGAAATGCGACGCGACTGGTTGGTGCCCCCAACAGAAGATGTTCCGGGCATGCACAAGTTGTGTAGAGGTCCCCAAAGAGATTAGACCTTTGGCACAGATAGTCATTTTACGTTTGTGCGAACAGAAATCCAAAAACTCTGTGGCTCCTTTCGTCACTTCCTATTCCCAATATATGTCACTGGTTTGGGAGGCCCCTAAGAGTCATGAGGTAGTAGCACGAGAATCACTTTCTCAGTCAGAGAGTGCATATGCTAGACCAGCTTCTTCAAACCTACCTTTTTGGAATTCCCAAGTGACCTTTTTACAGGACCAAGTAAACCTCAAACCAGGACATCAAAGGATCACAGTGAAGAACCAGGGAGAGACTTGTTTGATGCTATGGCTATGACTAAGAAGTAGTAGCAGAAACATGCGTACTCAAGTCTTCATAATGCCAGACCATAGTCCCTTCTTGATGGGTTGATGGACGGGATCGCACACTACCTAAAAAGATCCACACCCAACAGACATACAAAAAAGGAACGAAACCAAAGGGTTCAATACGAAATGGTGCCAAACCACCACTAACCCCCTCCAAAAAAAAACAACAATTAAACCAGCATAGACCCATGTGCAGATATTTGAAGTAAGAACCCCATAGCTTCGCTATCTGGGGAATTATCAGTTGCTAGATGCAACGCCACTAAAGCCGGCCGTGTTTCTTGGCATCTTTGGGTGGCTTTCAATGCTTCCCACAGCACCGGGCCTTGTGGGATGCGAGGAGCGGCGGATGCGGTCCTGAGGAGGATGAGCTGGGATCGACCCGGGTGGAGCCAGTGGGGAGGGTGGGTTTCTGTGTGTGTACCGTCATTTTTGGTGTGTAGAAGCATCGAAGCATCCTGGGAGTAGATAGGATCTAGACAATTCTAGACTCTAGACACCTCTTCTTGAAGAGATCTTGATGTTTGGCAGCTGGCCTTTGCCTTCCGGCAATGAGGGCCAATGGGGGCACTGAAAAAGAACGGTAAAGTGGGCGGCCCAGAAGTAGGATTGCAGAGCGTGAAGACAATGTTGAGTGAGTGGAGAAGTTGTTAGGTCGGCGGGCGGATCTGGTTGGTCAGCTGTTTGCACCCAAAGCCCGTTGGCTCCAAATGAAGTGATTCGCAGATGAACACCCTGAAAGCCCAGTCAAAGTCAGTACAGGAACAGCTTCATTGATGCAGAGGATGAGATGCAGCGGATGTTCAATGTTTCATCTATACCTTTGAATGTTTTATGTGGGGATTGTGGGACAATTTTGCCTTGAACTTTCACGTCATTGTTTGGTTTGAGTGAGGGGATGATTTGTTGTTGCTCTTAGAGCTTTGGTTGGATGTAGGTATTGCAATTGCCGATTTGATGAGGCTTTGTTCTCCAGGATAGATATCATGAACGCAAACAGGCTCAAGCGCACCCATTCCCAAGTGGACAGGGCAATGCCATTGTCCGAGCTGATGAAAGCGGCTATAGTGCTGGCTATGGCTACACTCTTACTCGCACTTGTCCTCGCAAGTGTCATCTCAAGTGGCTTCGGAACCCTCACCAGTGCCGTGAAGGCAGAAGCAATCGGAACCTACGCTGGCTTCGGAGGCTTCGCAGGAGGCATCCTCGAGGACACACGTGACTTGGATTGAACTGGAGTGAGTCGTTTGCGTCACCATCATGGTCTAGGATAGCTCGTGTTTGAACCCACTCATCCCGCCTTGCAGGACATTCTTCGCGTTGAAGAATCACCTGCCACTGCTTGTGGGTGCACCTGCCTTTGCTCACTTAGCCTACCTTCATGAGGCTGGAGAGTTGCAAAACGTGGCTTCTCGACCCAAAGCTGTCCCCACCCGTCGGGTTGTCATCCACCAACTTTTTGTGCTCAGCGAACACAACAAAGCTCAAGACATGAGGGCCAAGAAGTCCCATTTCACCGCTGTAGCTTCAACGTGCACCTTGATATCCGCCGTACAGACAGCGTGGCTCCATCTCAGCACTTGTAACACCGGCTCCTCATCAGCGGGCGCTTCGACCTCTGACTCTTTCTGTTGGTGCTGTGCAGAAATGGATTGAAGGCTAGCCTGGGCCGGGGATGAGATTAGCATCAATACTTCGTGCTGTTGGGGAACCCCCATCACAGCGTCGTTCTGGTTACGGTCAGGGAGTCTGTCCTACCCTGCACTATTGGCCTTTAAGTTCTTTCCACAAGTTGTGAGGTCATCTTGCAGCTTCTCAACACGGACTACTGTATGTCAAAAAAAGCGACTTGTCTGTCTTAAAGGCCGCCATTGTCCGATGATGGCTGGGGATGTCAAGTTCATGTTCCATCTGAGTGTTTTGCAAGATTGGATCCGCCGAATCACGCCAAAACCGTCGTTAAACCCGCCACTTCGATGCACAGTAGGGGCTTTGCATGGGGAAGTGGTTGATATAGGGGTCCCCATTTGGAGAAACACAGATCCACTTCTCCCAGTCTGCGCACTGTCCCTTCTCCCATCTTCTCCCCAAAAAACTTTGGAACATTCGAAACAAAGATTGGCTGGATTCCCTACCTCATCGCTACGAACGGAGCGATCGGACGTTACGAACGGGCTCCTGACCTAGTAGGGTCAGGGTCCTTTGCTCCTAGTAGTAGGCCAGGAGCCCCTAGTAGCATCCTTTGCTCCTAGTAGTAAGCCCAAAAGCCCCTAGTAGCATCCTTGCTCCTACTAGTAGACTGGAGTCACCTCAAAGATGCAACAAAGCAATTCATTCACGCCGCAGTTTGCAGGTTTGCTCCTCACATCCGCCATTCTGCGCCACTCCTCACTCACGCACTCCCGCGTTCCCGGGCCGTTTTCACGTGTTCTGGTCCGCATGGTCCTGGCGGTTCAGTAGCCCACTGGCCCAAGTTCAGACTTGGCGCATCCCGGGAAAGCGAGGGAACCGACTGGATACGCTTCGTTTCCCTCTACCACCAGGGTCGCGGGTCGCATCAGCCGCACCAGTCGTCCGATTCGAAGCGTCGCAGAGGCCCAGCTGATGTCGTCAAGCTTGCACTAAACCGCCTTTCCTTTGTCGAAGGGGCGGTGAGTGAGGCATTCGTGGCCTGGTGGAGCTGCATTTGCAAATATCATATCGCACACGCGACACGGCACCCTGTCTTTGGGACAGCAACGATGGTGCCAAGCATTGGACCCAGCAAGAAACATGTGCCACCCATCCATATGGTCGAAAAACCCAACCTCGGTGAAGAGATGTTTAGCGTTCTACAAATGAGTGCAACTTTCGTGCGCTCAAACGGGTATTGTCTGCATGAAAAAACAGGGGCTGGCCACCTGCGTTTCGTGTCCGGGCCTTGAGGCTGCTGTGTTCCCAAACAGCTTGAGGCGGAATTTGATTGCAAACGTTCCCACCAACCTTTGGAAACCGATCTGACGGAACAAAATTAGGTTGAAACTGTTTGGGTATGGTTGGGTCGATGCTTATGCTGGCATATGCTGTTTCTAATGTGTTTTCTATGTTTTCGCTGGCTGTACACCTTGAACCTCAGATCTGACCAGTCGACCCATCCGTACTGCTGCGACCGGATGTCCAGGAGCCGAGCACGCGATATCCCGGCCGAGATCAGTTGCGGGAGAGCGATTTGACCTTCCAGGCGCCGAATCGATTTGACCAAGCAGGGAGTGATTTGGCTTTATATGGTATGGAAATGGTTGGAATATCAACCAAGACCATGGTGCTGGGGTGGTTATTGGATTGAAAATGCATAAGAAAAGGGGTGTCCATAAACCACCCAATCTCCGTGGTGGAAAATGTGTTGTTTCTTTACGGCTCCTGCTCAGCAAATCCAAGGAGTGGCCCGTGGTCGAACTGTGTCATGGTTCTTCTGGCAGGGTGAGGCCACGGGCCTTTCTTCGATGCCGCCAACACTGCAGTTGTCATTTCAAGATGACTTGTTCAAGGACCAGTCAATGGTGAGATCTGATGAGTATGGTCTATAGTTCATGAATGTACACTCCGAGTCACTAACATGAAAATGGAAAACCTCCTGTTTGTCAAGGACAGCAGTCTTCCTAACATGGTCTGCCTTCACGGGATACTGCGGCTCGGCTGCGGGTCCCCGCAGCGGCGGCACGCCCCGCGGATGTGGCGCCCGCGGCACTTCCGCAGTTTCGGGTGCAAATCGGTTCGTCATAGGTCTCCAAGTGGGGTCCCCACTGGATCCGCTCATGCGCATCCGCTTTGGTTCGTTCCGCTCAAATGGCTTGTGACTTGTAAGCAACGGATGAGAACTGCATGAAGGTATTTGATGCTACTTGTAGGTGATCTTTGACGTGCTTTGACCGATTCATATGTCTTGAAGAGCCTCGTACGAGCAAGAGCCTAATTCATCGCATCGCAGGGTTCGATTCATCGCATAGGTCGACGGGTCGACCACGTTCGGTCCCTAAATTGTTGCGACATGTCTTTTTCTTGGTTTTCTTTCATGTGCGACTGCTATGATTCCAGAATGCAAACCCTTCCCCGGCAACCGGTGTTTTTCACAACTTCAGTCACCACATCACCGGAGGTCTTGGTCGAGAGCCTGAACCGCTACATCTGGGAGAGTGGCCAGTTACTCCGACCAAAGAGAGGGATCGAGACTGCTCTGTGCTAGGTGGCGTGAAGTCCAAAGAAATCAGTTTGGTCTGAGACCGGACGTGAAGCCTGGCCGCGAACACGCTTCAATCAAAGTGGGGATTGGTTTGAAGTTTGAAGATCTTTTTGTTCGGTACAAAGGTGTTTGATGAAGATGTCCACTGGCTCACTGACAGGAGTTGAATCCATCCACTCTTTTGTGGAAATGCCAGGGACGCCCAAACTTCGCACGCTGGATGCATGTAAACCTTGCAAGTAGGCAGCCATTGCAGCAGACGTATGCAAACGTTGCTTCCCAAAGTGCCGGCAGAGCCACATCCAGTGACATTTGCTAAATCAACCTGGTGACATGTTCATGTTCACTCTTCCCCAAGATTCCCCAACAAGGCTCACACTTGTTACAATTAACATGTTTGAGCATCAGTTGGTTAAGGATTCTTCAAGGTTCTCAAATCTTCTTTCTACTGAGATTCTGTTGGACCTTTTGAGCCCTGCGGCTTCCCGAGCGGCCTCCCAGAATTGAACCAAACCATCCAGATGTGTGGTTTCCATTTCAAACCCATGGCAGTAAATTAAACACAGCATCACGCAGCATGCTTGGCCGTGCAGTACAGAGCCACGTAGCTATGTCATAAAAGATTCTGCACATCGTATGAATGTTATTTATCTACGTGGCTGGTGACCCAAAGTTTATACATGTTACTTAGTATTTATCGGCCATGTAGACTACTTACAAAAAAGATGAATGCTCTTTTCTGCCGACCTGTCACACTGAACTCTCAAGGCGAAAACGCACGGACGCACACGCAGTGCCACGCGAGCCGGTGAGGCTCAGCCACTGGCGCAAGTGGTGGCCGGTCTACGGCTTGGCCTTTCTGGGCCTGGCGCCCCAGTCTTCGCTGTTTCGTGGAGAAGACATGGTGGTGTGTTATGATGGTGGTGTGTCATGTGTGTTATGGTGGAGTTCTCGGTGGTTTCCTGGCCTTGGGAGCTTGGAAACACCACCCACCAACTTCCCCGAAGGTTTCTCGCCAGATCAGCATAACATGGCCCCCCCCCCCCCCCAATGAGTAGAAGTCTTACTGCCCGGTACCACATGGGTAGACCCCCTTTCTCGCCCCTGGCTGGATAGATTGGTCTATTTCCCATGTCACCTGAAAGAGGTGGTCGAACTGTCTCACCCACATGTGCAGCCTGATGTGTCTCCCACCGCTTCAATCGAACCCCGACCGACCCACCAAACCGCCGTGTTCCCGCGTGGCAATCGCGTAGTGGCGTCGCATCGCAAACGCGCGCCGGGCACGCTGGATCGCGCCATGCAGTTAGCGCAGTTAGCGGTGCCAGGAGCAGTGTAGTAGCTCCAGGGAAGACCGACCCCCCCCGGCACTCCCACCCTGCTGCACCCCCACCCCTTGCACTTGCAGGACATCGACCCCATCGCGAGTGTCGCCATCGCCAGGTGTGCTCGTGGGCGCGTGGCGCTGGCGCCTGGGCGAACGGGAGGTGCGACACGGCTTGGTGCAGCACAGCGCCGAGGTTTGGCGCCAGTGACTGGGACAGAGCAGCGACGGAGGTTTGAGCGACGGATGGGCGATGGGGAGGACGGTGGTGTGTGGGGGGAGAGAGAGAGGGGTTGAGAGAGGTACATGTCGCATTATGTTTGACTTGGCGGGTGCTTGCAAAAGTGGTGGGTGGTCCTTTCTTTCTCGGACTAGGAAGTTTAATAGCCAGGGCAGAATGAAGCGCTGTTTTCGGTCCAGCATGCTTGACACCTTCAATGTACATTCAAAGCATCCACTGGATGCGAGCATTGTTCATGCAATCAGTGAAACAACCTCCTTTGCTGCGTCTTGCCACTGGCTCCTGTGCTCCTTTTGTTGTGGAGAGAAAGACACTCAGCTCCTTCGTTTGTTCCGCATGTGGCTGGGTGGTCGCGAACCTCGCAAGCAGCTCGCGAACCTCGCACCTCGCGAACCTCGCTCGCTGTCGCACCCGAGGTTTCTCAACGAATGGATCCTGTTGCCATTCCAGCAGCTCTGGGAAGCCTTGCTGCTACCTGGCCCCAAGGACTGCATCACCGTGGGCCGTCGGGCCGACGTCTCGGAGGCGGCGTGGAAGGGAGGAGCGAGGGAGGGCAGAGGAAGAAAGGGTAGGTCACGGTGAGGAAGATCACTGTAAATACTTACAGATTGACCACTATACCTTCACATCACGTTCAATGATTTATTTGGTCTACCTTCACATCCACCAGGCACCGTATACATGATTTCGTGCTCAGATCCGCGTGCTGCTCACCACCGCCTTAAGGCGCTCGCGGCTCGGTGAAGCTTGCCTCGGCGCCGACCGGACAGGAGGAGTTGCGGGTTCAACTGCGAGACCTTCGCGCAGAGGAGGCAAGCCACGGACCTGGGAGATATGTGAATTTTCGGGGTTTAAAACATAAAGACAAGGGCGAAAATGGTGATGAGAAGTGCGACGGCTTTGGTCTTTGGAGTCTTTGGTAGTTCAAATTGATCAGAGAAGCTGTGATTCAGTGAAGAGATGTGAAGAGACCCCTGTGGCCATACACCAGGCCCGTTGAGGTGGTTGTTTCCTGACTTTTGGTGGCTTAGGAAGTGAGACAAAGAGAGAACGTTCAAAAGATCGGCCATACACCAAGCAGTTCAGCAGAGCTAATAGCATGGATGACATATGAGAACATGGAGAACATCAGCCAAACTCCAAGCAGTTTTGGACTTAAAGAGGATCTTAAGAACTTCGAACCTTCAACGAACCTCCAGCCGCATCCGGGTCGCCCCAATGATCCGCAGGAGGCGCTGGAGCGGATGGTCACCAGCTTCGCGCGCTTCGCGCGGGCGGAGTCCACCTTCGCGGTGAAAGGCAAGGAGGGCAGCTTGGCGCAGAAGGGTGGCGCAGAAGGGTGAAAAGTAGTCGTCATACATGGTAGTCTAGTAGTCTTTGGTAGTCCCAGACAGAGTGAATTGAAGTGCAAGAAAGTATGAGAGAAGCATCTTGAAAGGAATCACGAGAAAGGCTGGAAAGCAGATGAAAGGAGTTTCTGTACATTCGCTGTCAATGCTATCGCTGAGGCGTGGAGGACGCGGCCTTGCCGGAGCTGTATTTCGAATGGTCCATGAGACTTGGTGGAAAGGAGGAGTTGTTTAAAGACTTATTTCTCTTATCACCCTGAGGGAAGGCAACATTAATTGGAAGCAAGACTGTTCATGCCAAGAGACGAGTTGGCGCAGATCTTTGGTTGATGCTGTTTTCTTCCTTTGAGTAGACTATCTAAGTCTTCAGATCTCATAGATAGCCCTATAGACGGACTTCCTAAACGAAGCGGTTCCTCGACATTGGTGGACAGCCCACTTCACCCAGATGAACTGCCCACTTCACTGCCAGCGAGTCACGGCGCGATTGCAAGACTATAGACTAGACCAGGAGTCACAGGTCGGGGTGGTTTTTGGTCCCATCCAGGGGCTGTGGATGTGATGGTCGGCACCCCGACTACCTCCATGGATAGCACCCCGACATGTGACTGCTGGTAGACTAGTAGATGTCTTTCAATCTATAAGAAGCCACTGGGCTTCACGGACGGCCGAATTCCCTCTTTTGTGGTATACATTCCCTAGGGCTCCAGTCGTACCTCCTCAGGTTCGGTATCTGGACCCGAACATGGCACCCACCCCAGTCCCACCGTACCTGAGAAGGTACGACTGGAGCCCTAAGGATTCTCCACATGCAAAATGCACTGTCCTCCCCCAAGTTCACCGCCTTCACGTCGCGAGGGCCGTTCACGCACAGCCGAGGACGAACCCCATCAGCAACGTGGTGACGGGCCATTTGGCCGAGCCGGGCTGCCGAAAACACGCGTGGCACGTGGCACGTGGCGGTTTGGAGGAGGTGGATGGGAGGAGGTGTCCATCCAGAAGAGGAGGTGAATTCCGTAGGATTTTCTCACAGATAGACCAGGGCGGGTTTCATTCTTCAGGATTTGATGGGGTCGAACCGGTCTTCCCGCACTTTGGGTGAGTGAATCAGCAAGCTCCAATCTCCCGTCATTCGGGGATCGGAGTGGTGAACTTGGCAGCGTGCCGCCGCGGAGAAGGTGCGACACACACGCCGGGATCGCAGGTCGCGGTCGCAGGTCATGATGACTTCTTGGGGTGACGGAACAAGACATGTGCAGCTTGGCAGGTGGCTTCGTGGATTCTGCTCCCCCACCTATCAATAGTACTGACTATTGCGAGCCATCCCTTTGCCAAGGTCGTGCATGGTGCAGAGTCAGAAGCTCAAGGTCTTGCTGTATGTGCCTTGGATGAGTTTGAATCCGTGGATAGAGGGCGAACAACAACTATTTGAACCAGGCTGAAATGACGACCAATTTTGAGGAGGCCTCTATTTCGTGGTCCGAGTTGTGTACATGTGTCTAGCTGGTTGAGTTGTGGAGGACGTAGTGAGTGCGATCAGTTCGGTTTGTCCTACAAAACCTGTAACATCCTGTAACAGTCCGTAAACAGGCAAATTACTATTTGTGGCAACTGAACCCCTGGTATTAAGATGGGTAGTAACATGTAGTAACCTATGTGGCAATATGTGGTCCCTGCATGGTTTCCCTGCATCCCTTCCTCCTGACTCTTGTGGCAGGAATATATTTCCAGACTCTAAAAGAGGTGGACTTGGGAATACATCATGACCTAGGAAGCTGCGATGCCGCATCGGCTTCCTGCGTTGCGTTGCGTTGCGTCAAGCCGCCGATCCTTCCGTCGTCCCGAGTCGTCCCGGGCCGCTTCGGCAAGCCGGTCCTGATGCGTGGGATAAACATGCAACGAGTACCCCAGACCATCCACGTATACATTAACCTCATGTAACAGCCCGAATGGAGGTCATGATTTCAGTTCCATGGATGGTGGATACTACAAGATGGTCTGGGCTTTTCTTCGGGAGGTATCAGATCATCGCTCTCTCTCTCTCTTGGGATCCAGTCGTAGCTCCGAAACGAAGGTGTTGGGACCCTCCCACGGCGCCTAGTGTCAAAGTGTCGAACACACATCACCGTACCTCAGAGGGCATGTGAATCTAGAGGGACTGATCATCTCCATTTCCATCCGGACTACTCTTCACGACAGGTCACAACAGGTCATGATACCCCCAAGTTTGGTGGTTTCTATGGACCTCGTGGGGGGAGATCGTGTCATCGAACCTCGAAGGAGTCACCAGCTGGACGTCCGCACCAAAAAACAGCTCCACCTCCTTCTCATTCGAGTCCCGGCCGAGAGCGGAAGCGGCGTTTCCGGTGGCGATGCTTCCAGGCATCGCTCTACTCCATCGATGCTGTGATGATGCAGCTGAAGTGGGACTTTCTGATGGCACCTTGAACGTCACACCTACGACGGTCACGGTGACGACGTGAGTTCCGACTTTTGGTCCAAACTGAAAAAGCGGAAGTCAACCCGGCCGGAGCTTGCCCCAAAAGCGGGCCAGGTTTGGACTGCGAACTGGTTGAACTTCATTCGAACTGGAGATCCTTTTGGACTGCGAACTTGTAGATGAGCGAAAGGCAGACCATGCTCCCGTGCTCCCATGCCCCCAAAAAAATAATCCAAAGGCTGGGCACTACCCACTACCAGGCACTAGTTTACAGGCCATCAGCAAGTATCAACGATCGCCACCGGCTGGGAAGGGGCTGCCAAGGATCCAGGAAATTAGACCAAGAGTTGTCACGAAAGCTAGCACCAGCTAGCTGGAGTTGTCCTTGCTTTAGCAAGTGAGGGGCTGGAATCCAGTTGGATGGCATGGGCATGAGAAAACCTGCAAGAGTTGTTGGTGCCCATAGCTCAGGCAGGTGTGATGCCCACCACCCTGCTGTGTGGCTGCGTGCACCTTGGTTTGGACAGCCGACGCGAGTGGCGGGAAAGGGCAAGGTGGTCAGCTCCACGCTGAATGCCGTTGACAAACTCAAGGTGGGAGAAAGCAAAGTAAAAAGAGAAGCATCGGTTTACCTGCTCTTTGTTGCTTTCTCTTGGAGCTCGAGATTACTACCGTGCCTTCGATCCTTTGTACGCTTGCAGCTCGTCCATGAGCAGCTAGAAAGGCCACTGCATGTTGGGAATATGCAAAACAGTTTTTCTCCTGACCACATAGCAAATAGAATTGCCTTGGTGATATGAAGGAGGCAGAGCCCTATGCGACGTATCCAACCATAGCCAGTGCTTTTTGTGAACTACTGAAAGACCAGGAGCTCTTTTTTAAACCACTTAACGATCCCTTGTAACTAGTAGCTTCGTGTTCCTAGTAATGCCAGGAGCTATACTAGTAGCTTCTTGTTCCGTTCGCAGCGATGCAATTGATACTAGTAGCGCGTTCGTAGGCCGGGGAAATCTGTGTTGTATGACACTCGTCCCTAGGGCTCTGTCCTCGTCCTTCCAAACCGCTTCGGTATGACTGAAGCAACTTCGAGACCCGTTCGGGACGATGACAGAGCCCGTTTTCCTTTCTGGGCCGATAGGTAGAGGTAGGTAGAGGTAGCTAGCGATGGCCTCCTATAGCCAATAGCTTACTCCTCTTGGCTACTAGGGGCACTCCTGGCATTACTACAAGAAGCTACTATATTCTTCCTTTTGAGGAACCCCAAGATCCCAAATGGCTTCAATATATCAAGATGGATTCCAGAGCCGCTTCATGAACTCGGTCACCAACTACCGGTCCGTGTGTGGAAACTGCGAAGAAATGGCCTTATGCCATGAGATCATAAGTCATAAGACAGATCATAAGACAGAAACACTTGTAATCAAATATCCATGAACTCCATGAACTCCTGTATTTTCACTCCATGTAATATGTACATTTTGTACTTTGCACATAGTAGGATGTCATGTACCTTGACTTCGCAGCTCGCGGCCCAAAACAGGAGTTGCAGCTTAACGGCTGTTTCTATAGGTTATCAGCCGTAGTGCTCTAACCACAGCCATGGACGCTCTTGCTATTCCTGGGAACGGCACATCATCGGTAGCAGTCCCAGCCGGTCTCATGACTGAGCCCACGGTGGATCTAGATGACCCCATGGGCTCAGCTCCTGTCACAGCTTACTTTCAGTTTGTGCAGCAAAACATCCAACAAGTGTACAACGGAAATGAAGATGCTATTATTGCTGAGGCAGAGAGAAGGCATAAAGAGATAATGGGACAATGGTTGGAAACGGTAAGAACCAAGTTTCGTCAAGCAATCGATGAAGTAGCGAGCAAGCATCATGAGGAACTCAGTTCGGTAAGGCAGCAAGCTCAATCTAGCTACAACCAAGTGCAAGGGGAACTTAGCGCTGCAAAAGCGCGGATCCTGAAGCTAGAGAGTGAAAGGTCCATTGAGGCTGAAGCCAGAAAAGCAGAACTGGACTCCTTGCGCATCCAGCTCATGCACGATTGTCAGCAAACTGTCACTGCCATCACCAGCGGCCGAGCAAGGTGTGGCAACGCTTCGTGCAGAGTTTGATGAGCGGGAAACTCAGCTTCGACGAGAGCTACGCGACGCAGAAAATGAAAACTATAGCCTGCAGCAAATGCTCGATGACCTTAAAGCCAAAGTGCATGCTGAACCCGAGTTAGAGTACCGTCCAACAAGTGTCATGATCACACCAGTGTCTACCCCTAGGCATGATGACACTAAGAGGAAAAATCCTCTGGAGACCATTGCAGCAGAGGCTACTGCACGTTTGAGTGGACTGTTCGCACCCAAAGCGCCGACGGCCACCATCATCGGTGATGCCCCACCAGGGGCAGCTGCTCCTATCAAGCCCGTGCTTCCAGTTTACGGAGGTACAGCAGCGGATGGGGGCAAAACACCGACACATATGTTCCATAGCCCTGCACCTTCAATTCGCGAACCCCATAAGCCAGCGTCATCAGGTGCCATCACCTCTGAGCAGGTGATCGAATTGGTCAAGTCACTCACTCAAAGAGAGTCAGATGAGAAGCCAAAGGTAAAGGAGGCAGATCACATCAAATTGAATGACATGCCAACCCCTGAAACCTATCGGCAGTGGAAACATCATGTGAGGGACGAAATCAAGTCATGTTCTGACAAACCAGATGCCGCCTGGGACTGGTTAATGGAGGTTTACAACACTGTTGATGAGAGGAAAGTTCTGGAAGAGCGGTTGTCTAACCCTGGGAAGTTCACAACGTTGGATACCAAGTTGGCAGCTGCGCTGACCAGAAGTGCAAAGGGTGATCTAGCAAACCGAATCATCAATTACAAAGAAGAGAAGGCAAAGCTAGGCATCCAGGTTCGAGGAAGGATGATTCTTCTCATGTTCGACGACTATTTCAAGACCTCGGAAGAAGCGGGTAGCCTTTACAGGGTTGAAGATCTCCTCAATGTGGTAAAGGTAGGCGATACTGTAGCGGACTTGAAGCGTTTCATCAACCGCTGGGACGCTACCATCGCTGGTATGCCCGAACCACCGCATGAAAACGTGCTTCGAGACATCCTTTTAAGGCAGATCCGCACTAGCACGATCCTAAGGTACGACATTGACCTTTTCGATCGTGCAAAAGAAGGTGACCATCATCGGTCTTACAAGTTTCTACTGCAAAGCATCAAGGATCTGATAGATCGGGAACGCCTTCGTGAGAATCGGTCACGTATCGCGGAGCGAAATCGGCTCAAGCCAGGTGATCGACATGAGAAGAACGCCGCCCCTACTGTTGATCCTCGGCGAAAGCGTTCGCCATCGCGCGGACGATCCACTACTCGGGAGAAGGGTGTTTGTTGGGCCTTTTTGGAGGGAAAGTGTGCAAAAGGGAAAGATTGCAAGTTCAAGCATGAAAAGCCCAAGCGTGATCCTTCCAAGAAGCGCCAACCATCCCGGGAGCGGAATGAGTCGAGGGACAAAAGCACAGATAAGGAGAAGAAGCGGATGACTAAGGAAGAGATGGCGAAGACCCCATGCAGGTACGATCAACAAGGTACATGCAGAAGAGGAGACAAGTGCTTTTTCAAACATGGAGAAAAGGCAGCGCCGGTTCCGAAAACGAAGCCAAGAAAGGACTCCCCAAAGCCAAAGGCAAAAGGAGATACCAAGAAGGCTGCCATTTGCCTGAGCAATCGGTTTGCATGTCTTGCGACTGGTGTGCCCGGACGATCATGTCTTAAGAAGTCCTGTCTTCCTCCAGCGAGAAAGAGGTCTAAGTCGTCTGTCCGAAGAACTACATTCGTTATGAAACCTGAAATTCGCACAATCCCTGCTCGCGGGGAACACTGCAAGATGGTCAAGCGTGAGCGCAAGTATAGTGTGCATTTTGCCACGAGCGATCGCGTGCCCAAGAGCGACCCAAAGGCAGCCCACATGGCCAAAGTAAAAGCTAGGCAGTTGGCTGAAGTTGTCCGAAGCTTTAATAGCGCAACAGTGCCCTCATGTCGTTTTCTGTGCACCGAGTCTTCGCTTACTTGTCGTGAGTGCCGAAGCTTGATCAAGTTGAAGACATGTCCTACTACCATCCCGACTATCGTTGCTGGTCCAGCACCAAGGGAAGGCAGGTTCTCATGGCTTGTCGATTCTGGGAGTGAGCAAGACCTCCTCAGCAGGAAAGTTATGGACGCTGCTGGTGCGGAAAACCCAAGACGGGCTCCTCACACCATCAGTCTCATTACTGCGAATGGGTCGACTGAAGCCAGTGAGGTAGCTGACGTCAAGATGAAGCAGCTACTGGAGCCTTGCACGCCGTATTTGCTGGATGAATGCCCTGCTGTGCTCTCAGTTGGCATCAAATGCCTTGACCAAGGGTATAGTTTCGTGTGGCCAGCGAACGGTACTCCGATCCTTGTGCGACCAGATGAGAAAATCGTTCAACTTCGCGTTGATGGTCATGTCCCAGTCCTCGACTCCGAGTGCAAAGTCTTTGGAAAGGGCAAGTTCAAGAAGGACAAGCCTTTGAAGAAGCTGTTTGCAATGCCGGGAGCAATCTCGAGCCCGTCGGATAAGAAAGAGGATGAGGGCATTGACGAGGAAGTGCCAGACGACGAAGAGAGCCGTTTGGTGCGATCAAGAAAAGTCGGAGACTTGATGCGTGAAGCACAGTCCGCAAAACACCAGTATCACCACTTCCCCAAGAACCCATTCTGCAAAGTGTGCCAGCGAGCGAGGATGCTTGCACCACAGGCACGAAAGAAAGGGGGTGAGAGCCGCATTCAGACTAAGGCCTTTGGTGATCATCTGATCGCCGACCACGTCGTCGTGCGCGCGAACATCGAAGAAGGGAGTCGTGGTGAACGGGTAGCGTTGGTTGTGAAAGACCTGCATACAAAGTTCCGGAGTATTTACCCATCCCAGTCAAAGAGTTCGGATGAGGTAGTGATTGCTCTTCAGCATTTTGTTGCCCCGGATGATGCAGTCGAGGTCATTTACACCGACAATTCCCGTGAGCTGATAGCTGGCATCAAGGAGTTAGGGTATCGCCACCAAACCTCCGTTGAGTACGTGGACTCCTCCAAGAGCTTCATTGAAAGGGAAGTTAGGAACATGCTTGAGGGAGCACGCACCAATCTTGTTCAGTCCGGAATGCCCCTCCAGTACTGGCCACTCGCCATTCAACATTTTGCAATGGCAACGAACACGAGTGATCAGCTGGACTCATCTCCAAGCCCATGGGGACTGCGTTTTGGAGAGATGTTCGAAGGCATGGCCATTCCGTTTGGTGCAAAAGTCCTATTCTGGAACAACCCCAATCGAGCCGACAACACAGCAGGAAAGCTGTCGCCCACTTCGGTGGAAGGTGTGTTTCTTGGTTATCATGTACAGCCAGGACACAAGTGGCGTGGGGAGTACCTAGTTGCTAAGTTGGAAGCACTAGACTACCATGTTGAACACAACAGTTTGACGATC